TGGAGTTAGGGAAGGGCGGAAGTCCGGGGATTTCCTCCGGACAAAAAAAAAAAAAATCGTAGTGTTCATTGGAGCCATCGTTTTGATCGCTCGTTTTTGATTGTTGTTTATGTCAAGGGGTGAAAGGCGAGGGAGGAATTTTAGTTTAGGCGAAATTAGTAGATTAGAGTAGGGTACGCTTTATTGTACACCAAATGAACACAAATGCAAAAATACAATGGACGGTCCTATCGCTAAGAACGATCCCTTCCAGACAAATATTAGGTTAACAAAAATCACTACAGGAAAGAAATTAATCGCGGTGTACTTTAAGATTGAAAAATAATATTATCTAATATATAAAATTCTCGTGTCACAATGTTCGTTCCCATACTCCCCAGAAACCGCTTGACCGATTCTCGTGAAATTTTTCATGCATATTCAGTAAGCCTGAAAATCGGCTACTATCTATTTTTCATACCCCTAAGTGATTAGGGTTGTCCATCCCTAACATATTTTATTTTATTTTGACATTTTTTTTTGTTATTATGAGGTATTATATGGTTGAATGAGGTTTTGTTATTTTTATTATATATTCCCTCATCGTTCACAGCACTACATACCTCTTTCACTCATTTACCACATCCTTACACACTTACAATAAGTTAGTTTTTTTTTTCTACACTAGAAATTCCCTAGAAATCTTATTCAAGGCAAAACAATGTTTGCCGGGTCAGCTAGTAAATATATAATATTGCTACTTTACAGATATAAAAAAAGAATAAACAATTGCGTAGTTTCGTATACACAAATAATAAATAAACAGACCGTCTCTTTTCATATCAGACACAGATACGATAACTAATTAATCAATGACGTATTGGCGTGTTCTTTATGACTACGGAAATTTATAAAGGAGATAATGCGGTAGCCGTTAACGAAATCGTCTCGAGAAAACCATATTATCGTAATTAATGAGACGAAAAAAAAATATTAGTTTACGATAAAACTTTAGAAAATGCAGCGGTTGTTACTTTAGAATTCGAGTGTAGTGAATACAATAATAAATCGTAGGTCAAATTAAAATGAATGAATTGCTACCCGCGATCATATTTACCCGTATCATTTCATCAATCATTCATAATTTTTTATTGAGCGGTATTTTTATTCAGTGGTATTTCTCGCGTTTAATGTTTAAAACATTTTATGTATGGGTGTGTGTTCGTGTGTGTACCACCACCAAGTTTTTCACGCGCTACCTTTAATTTTTATGAATGATTTATCTAATATCGTTATCATTGTTCACTCCTCACTCGTGCATATGTACGCGGAAAGGTTATCGCACTGTGGTAACAAATTCAAATTTAACTAGCACGGACGAGCAATGTAATAAAACACTAAAATATGGAAACATTACAGTTACAATTTCAACACATTCAGGTATTTTTGGAATATTGTTACGTGCTGGGGCTCGGGATAAAGAAAATTTCACCAAAGTACAACTTAAAAACTGTATTCAACACTTAAAACGCTCAACAGACACTTTGAAACTCTCAATTCGCTTGTTCCGCTTCGCTTCAGGTAATCCGTTCACTGTTTCGCTTCGAGTAGTTTCGATTACTGACTGACTGCGTGCCATCCCTACAACGCTTTTATAGCAGATACCGCATCCCTAGAATTATCGAGAATATTCTACACATCTCTAGTAGTCGTTTCCACTATCTGTCAATAGATGGCGTTGTACTTCTCGAGCGTTCTAGATCCTTCGATATCCGTTAGACTATTCGGCGATAGATGGCGTTATTCTTACCGGCGTAACAATATATAAAAACTGTCACTAGTTTTCTGTCTTAAGTTTACGAGTCTTGAGATGTGATTTTAAAAAACTTATTCGTCGTGTTCGTAATGAAGAAAATATCTCTAAAGCTAACAGATACTCAAATAGTAATAAAATAAAATATAAATAAAAACCATACCGAAACATAAACTTAACTACGTTTTGCTTTTATAGTATAAATTTATTTTACCTCATGAATGTTATATAAATATGATGTAATCATTCTTTTAGTGAAGCGAGGAGAAAATTATGTTAATGTTTTTTATGTATTTAATAGTAGGGGAGCGGTTGTTCGTTACTTTGGGTCGACTGACGAGCAATTTGCTTCAAAGGCAACCCAGATAATTACATAACCTAAAGAAATTGAAAACATTTTGATTCGTGCCTCGTAAAGTACAGTGCCTTCAAAACGTATTAAAATGAATTTCTGTTCAGAATAATACGTTTAATATTCTAGTTTTAACTTTGTCACGCTTTGTCTTCGGAATCATTGATTGAAACTTAATCTTCTATCAGTCATAAAATATAAATATACACTCGGGTGCAATGAAATCGCACATCTGTACATTTTTTGAAAAATATTATTTACTTATTTTTATTTAAAAAAATACATATATTTTTTAACATAAGGTTAAAGAATAGTTCAATACCTATTCAATGATACCACATAAGACATGATAAGTTTACCTGCCTGCTGAAACAAAACGACAACAGCAAACTCCAAAAATTGCTCCCTCCACTCACTGCAGTTTGCAAGACCAACTGCAGGTATAAAAAGGCATGTTTTGTGTAAAACGTCATCAGTTGCAAGCCAACGCTTAACCTGATAAGACCTCTAGTGACTCCAATTGCATTTGTCTGAAAAAGATGGATACTACTCCGGAAAAAGCCGCTCAAGTCGTCGCTCTAATTGAAGCGGGCCAGAACCAGAGTGTTGTAGCTCGACAACTGAATATCAGCCGATATTCAGTTCGTCATGTGTACCAGCGCTATCGGGAGACTGGTGGCTTTGAAAGGCGACGAGGATCTGGTCGAGCAAGAGCTACAACACAGCGCGACAACAGATTTCTTGTAACGACAGCGTTGCGAAATCGTCGTTTGACTGCCGTTGAACTTGCACAGCAGCTTCAACAGGTGCGTGAAGTGGTAGTCAGCAGGTGGACAGTCAGAAGGAGACTTGCCGAAGGTGGTTTGACTGCGCATAGGCCAGCAAATGGCCCTAAATTGACGCCAGCTCACCGCCGGGCTCGTTTTCGATTTGCACAAGAACACGTCAACTGGACAGCCGACCAGTGGAAAGCAGTCCTGTTCTCAGACGAGTCCAGAATGTGTCTTCATGATAATGATGGACGTGGAAGGGTCTACAGAAGGCGCTCAGAGCGATTTTCCCAATGTTGCATCACAGAACGTGTAGCATACGGCGGTGGTTCG